ACCCACCGAATGACCGCATTGTCCGGATTTGGCGTGCGCCAGGGCTTGACACTATTGCCATGATTAGTGAGATCAGGGATCAATAACCGCGCGGTGGATGGTGGCCATGACCGTGTCGGCGCCTTTCGCGGATTGACAGTAGCCTTGTCGCTGGGACGGGCAACAGTGAGGCTGCTTGGTCGCCATTCGCTGCTCAGTTTGGAGTGGTGCTGCTTTCAAAAAAAATCTTCAGGCAAGGGTCTAGGCTGAATCATCCCGGGGCTTTTACTTATAAAAACAGAGAGATGGAGGCTCGTGGAATAAACGAACGGGAAGCGAGGCCAGTGATCCATGGAACGGTTATTAGCCGGGCACAAGTGGAGATGAAGTCAAGACTCAAGCGGGACAGTTGGCGTTTTCTTTTCAAGGTTATTGCAGAAGACACCTGTGGCCTGCCATCGATAACGTCAATGAGGGAAAAGCGGGCCCGGCGAGGATGTTCTTGATGCGTTCCTCTTGTTCTTGGTTCGTTCTGAAGCGGAACCTAGTCCGGCCTTAGGCAGGACTCAGGCTCTTCAGGCTCAGGTACGGCCGCAAGTGGGGATTTCATCACGGGACGATCGTCCAATTGCTGACGCGCCCCCCACCTGACTCAGGAACAATGGAATGTCGCATCAATGGCCTGAATCCCTTAAGATACTCCAAAGGGTCCGATGCAATGGTGGGATGGTGCAATGCGCAGTGCAGACCTACCAAGTATTCTTTTCCGTGCCTCGTTTCCATTCCGCAGGCAACCCCGAATCAACAAAAGTCCCAAGCCCAAGTCACTCCGGGAGTGACCCGTCAGTTCCTGCGGTCGAGAGACGGCTGGCTGGGCGAGCCACGGCGAACTTTGAAGCTTCCGCGAGTGGGTGGGCGCAAAGGGGAGACGGACGGAGTCTGACTGAAACCCAGTCGGCTCCACTGTGTATGAACCATACCAACGGTAATTTCGGTAAACTGGCCTTCATCGACCAGCAGCATCATCAGAGGTGATCAAACAAAACCGGTTTCTGTTTTGGGGTGGCATCATCAGATCTGTCTGTCTTGATTTGCACAACCAGCACCGTTGAGATTATTAGCATCGGATCTGTAATCGGGTCGGATCCTTCCAAAGTTTCTCCGGGGCCGCGGCAGTGCACACTACCCATGCAGCCTGCAGCAGATGCAGGCGAGTCTGTGACGGAGTGACCTGTCAGCAGGGGCAATTGATATGATAGATTGTTTGTCGGTTGTAGGTTCTCCATTGTCGACTGATCAGTCCACTGAAGGGGGTTTTCTAGGTTGGTTTTCAGTCTCTGGTGCTGGTGCAACAACCCCTTGTGCAGCAGCACCCAGCACAGTACACTGTGTGTAATCAACATCAAACCTAAAGTGTAGTTGGACTGATCTCATCCTGGCGCCAGTCTGAAACCCATGCCCAAGAAAAGGACGAAAAGAACCGGATTAATTAACGAGATTAACGAGGTTGAGAAGCTAAAATATAATACCACAACGGTAACTGCTCAGTATAACTTCATACGAGGCTAAGCCAGACAGGGTCTTTTCCAATTCGAGACCTGCGCTAGCCCCGATCCAGCTCCGCCGTCTTTTTTTCCCCTTTTCCCTTTCGGTTCGATGTTTCGCTCTCTCTCTTCAACCATTCTCACCACGCCGTCCTCTTTTATCCCTCTCATTCCCTCGCCTCCTCCCCCCCACTCCCTTCCTCTCTTCTTCCCTTTTCCTCTTTTCGAGTTGATCTGTCATGGGATGGAGTCTCGGATTGACCCTCTGGTAGGATCGTGAGACTGCGGATGGATTGTTTCCTTCTGGCCTGAACGAGGCATGACCGTTACTTTACTTACTCTTACCCACGCTTCTCTCCGCTCGTTTCATCTACGCGCCTAACAAGCCAGCGCACTCACTCGACAACTCTTCGCTCGTTAATCGCTGTCACTATCCGCTCCCCTGGGTCTTTATAAGCGCCTATTTCTACTTCAACTTTCCCTTCGTTTCCTATCATTTGAACCTGGTCTCTTCTGTCCACTGTCAACCGCTGTCAACCGCTGTCAACCTCTGAATCGGTCATTGGAAATCGTCGATTCGCCTGCGTTCGCCCGTCCGATCATCGCTCAGTGTTGTCGACAAATGTCCAGCGGGAACTGGGGTTCAACAGCTCGTGGCCATGGTCACAGGAAATGCAGACTTTCGTTATCCGCCGCCCCCTGCTGGCGCGCATGATATCCCTAGCCGGCGCAGAATCCCGAACCCACCCCGCCTGGATCCGCTGAGACTCAACCCTCCCTTCCCACGACCGGCGACGGCGGACGGCCCTCGGCCGCCCTTCTCCCCTCACCCTCCTCCTGTACCTCGTTCCCCCCGGGTCCGCCCACCAATCCCACCGCCGTCCGATCCCTCATGGCGCTCGGTCTCCCCCTTACCTGTGGAGGATGACGACTTTGTCATTCGCCAACAGGCTTACCGCTCCCCCACCTTTCCCCTGCAGCCGCCTGCTCGGTCCAGGGCCGCCCCCCGAGAAGGGGAGGTGGATCGTCCACCTTACCGGAAGTCCCCGCCTGCTCCGCCAGCGTTGCGCACGTCCAATTCTACATCGAAGCTACATAGCATGCGCCCGCAGCTGCACCCTCATCGAAATCGAGAACGCCTGCCAGACGAATCTGCCGCCTTGAGACTGCCCCGAATCATCCCGCCTGGGACATACGCCGAGATGCGCGGACAAGATGCTCTTCGATCCAGCGTGAACTCGGCCATGACCTCGCGGTCGAGCATCGAACATGCCAGCGGAACCGAGCGGAGCAGTGTCCTGACCAAAAGTAGCTCTATCACCGATCTGTCGCCGGATACGCCGGATGGCTCCTATGATAAGGAGGGCGGTATGAGTGTGGAAGATGCAATCTCAATGTACCTGGATGGCTTCAGCGATGTCACCGAAGAACCAGGTTCGCCTGGGGTATATGACTCTTCCGGATTCTATGATGAAAGCAAGGCTAGACCATTGAGCCCACGTCCACCCACGGAGATCACCCTCGATGATTGTCATAGCTCGGATGAGCATTCCCCTGAACTGGAACCCACAGAAGAAGTTCCGCCCGTTCCACCCTTCCCTGAGTTAGAAGATCACGGCAGGAGCTCACCGGATGAAGAATTTCTGGGTGAGGCAGCTTCCCACGACCAGTTGCCGAGCCCTCCTTCGGAACGCAAGTTTTTGGATCCGCCTGTTGCACGAGAGCCGGAGACCACGGTCATCATTCCTGGCATCGTGCCGCCGCCGTTGCTACCCGGCAATGGCGCCCGCGACTGTTATGGCTTCCGCAAGGCCACTCACCACGTTACCCTCGTCCAGTATGAAGCATGGCATGCCCAATATAAGGATTACACCTCTCAGCGCAGAATTAAATGGGTGGAGCTGCTTCGGGAGAATCGGCTGCCTGTTACCGATCCGACGACGTTTCCTCCCAAATCGAACAAGGTCAAACGGTTCGTGCGCAAGGGCATCCCATCTGAGTATCGCGGCGCAGCATGGTTTTTCTATGCGGGAGGCTACGAGCATCTGAATCGAAATCCCGGCCTCTATGATCAGCTGGTTCGACAGTCGATGGAGTCCCCTAGCAACGACGACAAGGAACACATCGAACGTGATCTGCATCGGACCTTCCCGGACAATATCCACTTCAAGCCGGAGAACGTTGACTCGGCCGCTAGCTCTGGTAGCAGCAACCCGAGACATGGTTCTGTCACGGTGGAAACGGAGATGATCCAGTCGCTGCGGCGCGTCTTGTATGCCTTTGCTCTCCACAACCCGCAGATTGGTTACACCCAGTCGTTGAACTTCATCACCGGAATGCTGCTCCTGTTTCTTCCGGAAGAGAAGACCTTCTGGATGCTGCACATCATCAGTTCTGTCTATCTGCCTAGCACGCACGAGATCAGTCTCGAGGGCGCCAACATCGACCTGTGGATTCTGATGGTGCTGCTGAAGGAATCGGCGCCCAACATCTACAACAAGATCGCGGGGAGTGGGCCTGGCGCGGGGAGTGGGAAGGTGCCTGCCCTCACCGTCAGCTCGCGTCTGCCCGACATCACGCTGGGGCTGACCAACTGGCTCATGTCCGTCTTTATTGGCACTCTGCCGCTGGAGACGACGCTCCGGGTCTGGGATGTGTTCTTTTACGAAGGGTCCAAGACGTTTTTCCGGGTGTCGTTGGCGATCTTCAAGTCGTGCGAGCAGGATATCATGGGGGTATCGGACCCGATGGAGGTGTTCCAGGTGGTGCAAACGGTCCCAAAGCGGCTGCTGGATGCGAATTCGTTGATCGATGATTGCTTTGTCCGGCGACATCGGGTCGGACAAGGGCGGATTGAGGAACTACGCGCGGCGCGGCGGACGGCAGTGCGCCAGGAGAACATGCGTCGGTCGCGCGCGATGAACATGGGCCAGCTCCAGGCGGCGACGGACGACTGGGCGCATGGGCGCTCGCGGACGCCGACGCATGGGATCGAGCGCAGCATCGCGGATTCCTGGCGCCACATGAAGCGACACCATGGCTTTCGATGAAAAGGCGGGAAGGAGGGCGTTGAGGTTGCCCAGGCGGGCATGCTATGTATTTATTGATACCCAGATTAGCTTGATTCTACACTCTTCGGCTGTTTACTGTTATGGGGGTCTGTGTGCTGCAGATCGTTAATCATTGCTGTTCCATGGCTAATACTTCATGACGGACCGGCAGGCAGACCATGGTGTACTGTACATAGACAGAACGATCGAGTGGCAATTAATGTTTCTTTTGTTTTGATGAGGCTGCGATTGACGATCGAGTAAATTGGGTTGAGCGATCCATGGAACGAGCTTGGCGGGATGATCGATTCTCTCACAATGACGCGCTCTGTTGTGCGGGTGTAACCTTCGGCCAGCGCCGCATGCGTCTTCACTTCACTTGCTCAGCTCTTCCTTTTACTTTCAACCGTGCTACCTACCCCTTGCATGCTATCTTAATTCCCCCACTAGCCTTGTCGCAGTTTCTCGTCCGGTTTTCCACAGTACATCGACAGCGCACCTCTTCCTTCCCGTCTCCCGCCGTCGCAGCATGCAGCAACCATGAGCGGACAAGCAGCCAGCTACTACAACACCGAGCAGCGCTTTGACGGCCCTGCGCCTCAGCAGCAGCAGCAGTACTACAACAATGGCTACCCCCAAGGCCCCGAGTCCCAGCCCTACCCTCCCAGTGGAGGACACGGCTACCAGCGCGGCCCCGAGCCCAAACCGCCGCAAGAACCGCCGCGAGAACCGCCGCAAGAACCGCCACCAACCTACAACCAAGCCGTCTACGGCTTCGACGACGCGTTCAAGGTCGAGAAACCCAAATGGAATGACCTGTGGGCTGGTCTATTAGTACGCCTCTCCTTCCTGCCCCTTGTCCCCCGTCCCAAAGCACCACTAACCCGCCTGCCTAGCTCATCGCCGTCTTCCTAGGCTACGTCGCGGTCTCCGGCGTGGTGATCTACCGGTACAGCAAATACCACACCCTGAACGGCGGGGGCATCTACGGCGCGGCGAACGACTTCTCGCTGAACACGAACACGGTGATCCTGCTGGTATTCGTGCTGGCGGTGGCGCTGGTGCTGTCGTACGCGTACTGGCTGGGGGCGCGCACGTTCCCGAAGCTCTTCATCTGGGTCACGGGGATCCTGAACGTGGTCTTCGCGCTGGCGACGGCGATCTACTACCTGACGCAGCGGCAGTGGGGTGGGGGCATCGTGTTTTTGATCTTTGGGGTGTTCGCGATCGTGTGCTTCATCAGCTGGATCCCGCGGATCCCGTTCACGGCGTTCATGATGCAGACGGCCATCGATGTGTCGCGGCGCTATGGGCATATGTTTCTGGTCAGTACGGTGGGCGGGTTGGTTTCCGTGGCGTTCGGGGCGTGGTTCTCTGTGACGCTCGTGTCGATCTATGTGGCGTATGAGCCCGGGGGCGAGGGCGACAGCGTCAACCCCGCGTGCCGCGACGGGGGCGGCGGGTGCAGTCGCGCCCGCGTCATCGGGCTGGTCGTGTACGTGACGTTCGCGATGTACTGGTTCAGCGAGTGGCTGAAGAACACGGTGCACACGACGATCGCGGGGGTGTACGGGTCGTGGTATTTCTGCAGCGGCACGGCGCAGGGCATGCCGGCGGGGGCGACGCGGGGCGCGCTGCGGCGGGCGACGACCTACTCGTTCGGCAGTATTAGCTTTGGGAGTCTGATCATCGCGCTGATCAACATGCTGCGGCAGGCGTGCAGCGTGGCGCAGCGGCACGAGGCAGCGCAGGGCAGTCTGGTCGGCAGCGTTGCGTTCTGGGTGCTCGGGTGTTTCATCTCTCTGTTGGACTGGCTGGTCACCTTCTTCAACCGCTACGCCTTCTGTCATATCGCGCTGTACGGAAAAGCGTACCTCCCCGCCGCGCGCGACACGTGGACCATGATGAAGGACCGCGGCGTCGACGCCCTGGCCGCCGACTGTCTGATCGGCCCGGTGCTGACCATGGGGTCCGTGTTCGTGAGCTACGTGTGCGCCCTGCTTGCGTATTTGTATCTGCGGTACACGCATCCGGCCTACAACCAAGACGGGGATTTTACGGCGGTGATAATGGCGTTTGCGTTTGTGATTGGCTTGCAGATTTGCCAGATCTTCATGACGCCGATGAGCAGTGGTATTGAGACGATTTTTGCCGCCATGGCGTGGGATCCGCAGGTCATGATCGAGCAGCATCCGGATCTGTATCAGCGGTTGGTGCAGTTGTATCCGCGGGTGCAGCAGGCGATTCATGCGTGAGCCGGGGGGGGTTGCCCGGGAGGGGGCATTACGGTTGGTGTATGAGTAACTTTTGTAGTGTGTTTGAGTAGACTTGTGTCTTTCGAGTCTAGATCTTGTGATACCTGACTGCACGTGTATACTAGTGTCTATGCGAGCCCGTTAGGGCTAATGCGAAGTTAATGTAAATGTAATGTTTAATCCAAAAAGCACAGTCATTTTCATTCCTCATGCGCAACCAAAGATAAATCAAGTCGTACACATCATCCAAAACACAGCCAACTCCCATCACCCAAACCCATAAACTTCCACCTTTTTTTTCTGCAGTCTTCCCCATCCAATCTCCAATCCAAGAACCAACCCCCTTTTCACCCAATCTTCTCTTCCCGTAAGATCCAAAACAAACGCCAGCATCCGAGCATCCACCCGAAAGAAAGAACCATTACTCATACCCGTACCCATACCCATCCATCTTCATCTCCATCCTTGCAGGTATATCACAGAAAACCCAACCCCAACCACAGCCTCCCAACAACCCCCGCGTAATCTCCCCGCACCCCCCTGGAACAACCCCGCATTCGGATCTCCTCCCGCAGGTGCCTGCTTGTCCGAAGAACCAGCAGCAGTACCCCGTCCATCGGTAGCAATAGCGGTAGCGGTAGCAGTCGGGTTGACGGTCACGAGCTTCACGGACGAGGAGGTGATTGTTGGGATGGGGATGCTGCTTGCGCTGGGCTGGCTTGGAGGTGTTGTTTCTGAGGTTGAATAGGTGAAGGTCTGTGGTGATGCTGCGGCGCTTGTTTGGAAGGTTGCTGCTGCGGCGGCTGCTGCTGCTGCTGCTGCTGCTGCTGCATGAACCGCTGTTGCGCTGGCGGGGGTGCCTGCACTTGCGCCTGCAGCACCGGTGGCGGTGGAATAAGTGGAGGACGTTAGCTCCGAGGTGAGGAATTCTTCTTGCTGCTGCTGCTGCTGCTGCTGTGGAGCTTGATACTCAGCGGTTTGGGGTTGGGGTTGGGGTTGTGTCTGATCCTGGGATTGAGTTTCCATCTGGGTATGCATCTGGGGATTAGGGCTGGGAGCAACCGCCACATCCGGATAAGCATTCGGGAGGATGGCCGATTCCAGCGGGAGGGGGATGTTCTTCTCCTCCTGCCCTGCTTGCCCTGCTTGCCCTGCTCCTGCAGCTGGTGCAGCTGCAGCAGAGCCGAGAACGGAGCCGTCATCATAGGAGGAAGGCAGCGGGAGGACATCCTCCGGCAGGAGAAGTGGACCGTTGTCCGGGTGCAGGTTGGGGCTGTAGGCTCTTGCTTGGACTTTTCCTCTTCCTCCTTCTGCTGCCTGCGCTTGCGCCTGGGGTTGTGGGTGGGGTTGTGCCTGTGCAAGAGGCCGGTTTTTGGTATCTTCACCCAGCCGCACCATCGGCCGACTGGCTCGTCGCGGGGCCGCCTGGGCCCCGGCACTAGGCGTAGCCAGACTGCTTGAAGCTGTAGCTGTAGCTGCTGCAGCAGAACTACTAGCCCCAAGATCCCCCACGCGCACCATAGGCTGACTGCCCCGATGTGATGCGCCACCGATACCAGGGCTGGCACTAGGGCGGGCACTAGCACTGGAAACGCTCACACCCGCGCTCGCGCTCGCACCTGCACCCCCAGTATCCACATCACCGCTCCCCACCCTGACCATGGGCAAACTCCCTCTCTGCGGAGCTGCACCACTGCCACCAGAAGCACTACTGGCATCCCCATCCACCTCCACATCCGCAATCCGCATCATAGGCACACTGCCCTTCCTTGGTGAGACGGGGACGTTGGCGTCATCGCAGATGTACGCGGGGATGTTCTCGGTTGCTTTGGGATGTGTTAGCTTCACCTCAAACCCATACTGAGTCAAATAAGAATTGGGAAGGGGGCTGGGGGACAACATACGAACACCCTCACTGGCGCACTCGTCCAGCGTCGCCGGGTCCAGTCCCGAGGGGTCGAACGGGGCGTTGCAGAAGCAATCTAGGGCGGAGGGGGAGGAGCATTGGGGGCTGTGGTAGGTCTGGGCTATGGAAGACTATCCTCGATTTCCAGCTTCATTAGTATTCGATTGATAGGGAGTAGAGTGATCGATATGCCAGGGCAAGATGTCGCTCCCGGGGAAAGAAAAGGCAGGGAGGCGTACAGCACAGCGGAGATACCCCAGATCTGTATTCGTAGTGGCCGTAGCTGTGGCGAGGGTGATAGTCGAGAGGATCAGGATTGCGCGCATCTTGTCCGCGTGTACAGTATACAGTGTGCTGCACAGGGTCTGATTCCAGATGATCTCCGAGTGAGCTTGATGGCAAGGCCCCTGGTGTTGAGTCACCTATATACACTACTATCCGGCAGATGCATACACATGCAATGCTACCTTCCACGCCCAAACTGCTCTGCATCGCCATCCCCTGGATTCCAGCACCAGCCCGCCCGGTCTATGGTTTCAATCCAGAGTCCAAGAAGGTGGCGCGGTCTGGCGTCGTAGACAGGAATGTAGCGGAATGTCTCGATCGAGTAAGGTATGCGGCCGGCGAATGTATCGCCAAAGTTAGGGTGTCACATCCCGGGTGTGCATCTGCATGTCACTCACTGGCCAGGGGCGAATGAAATCATTTCTAGCCCCGAAAAAGAGGCGATTGGGAGGCGATGTAGCCCCGGAAAAGACGCGATTGAGAGGCGATTGAGAGGCGACAATAGACACAAATAGTGACGGGACTTGTACCGGAGTGGCAAGATGGAATGCGCGGCATCCCCTGTCATTAAAAGAATTATCCAATCGTGATGCACGTACCAAACAGAACTACATGAACCATCGTAGGGAATCACCAAATCAAAACCGCTCGCTAGTCACACACCGAGTGGCGTTCACCAGCACCCACGCAAACACCTTAACCGCCCAAGTCAACAGCTGCACCACCACCTCCAATCCCAAAAACACCACCCGCAGAATGACCCGCGTGATCCCCGGCAGCTTCTGGCCCTCGCGCGACGAGCCCTGCCCGTAACGCCCATACCGCTCCAGGTCGAATTCCTCCACCACGATCTTCCGGCTCCTTGGTTTGGGGGCCCTGCGGCGGCCCCAGAACCGGTACCAGCGCGTCGGTTTCTCGCTCGTCTCCGAGACCGACAGCGCCGACTTCACCGTCGACCACAGCTGGCTGCCCTTCTGGGCCTCGTCCCGCTCCGCCGCCGCCGTGACCAGGTCGCCGCGGTAGCCCGTGCCACCGTACGTTCCCGGTCCCTGTCCCCAGGGCGTGATGGACCGCTCGGATCCGTACAGGACCAGCTCCTTCAGGATCGGGCCGGTGGCCTCGTCCGACACGGCGACGGCCAGCATCGCCGCGACCACGGAGTCGATTGCGTACAGAGACGGGACGGTGTTGATGGTCGAGCCCCCGGAGATCGACAGCGTCATCGTCCCCAGATCCAGCGCGGCCAGCGGCTCGTCTGAGTCCAGCAGCGGCAGCGTGGAGGTCCGGGGCGTCGCCGCCGCGTTGGCCGACTCGATCGCGTTGGCCGACACCGGCGTGGTCACGAGAATGATCGGGGGTTGGCTGGACCGGGACTCGGCAGAGGCACTGGACACTGTCACCTGCAAGCTCCCGGCGTATTTCGATCGCACCGGGGACAGAGGGATGCCGGCCGCCCCGACCAATGCCGGCGGCTGCTTGCACAGAGCCGGATGGTGCAGCTCGTAATTATGTTTTGCCGAATTCCAGAACAGCTTGCATGACTCCTGCTCGGCCACCCGCTTGAGCGCATCAGCCTCCAGCTCAATCGCGTCCTGGTGGGGCAGTTGGTGCTCCTTGACCATTTCCGCGACCTGATCTAGGGCCAGGACGGCGGCGAGCCGGGGCAGCAGTAGCGATACCAGATTGTCCCCGCGCAGCTCACGCCGCGATCGATCCTCCACCTTGAATGTCATTATCGGGACGCTGTTGCTGGACTTGGATGGGTTGATCCTCGTCAGAGAAATCCCATCATTCGGCTCAATCTGCATCGTGTAGAACGGCGCGGTGGGTTCGCCGAAGGAAAATGACGTAGGGCCGCTCCTGCCTCGAGTCAGCACCCGTTCAAACATCCCCCAAACATCTTATGCTCACCGTTGCAGCCGTAGATTGAATGTCTCCGGCATATTCTGCGGTCTCTGACCGTTGGCCGCTTCCCACAAACTTCTCAGCTCCTCCGCGGACGAGTATCGCATCTCAGGTGTATCCAGCACCCCCGAAGGGAAATTTAGCACACTCGCAGGCACCGTCTTCGGACCAAGTGCCTGGTCAATCTCCGGTGCCGGGGACAGAAGGATGTTGCTTGGTCTTGAGTAATTTCGAGGAGTATGGCCGGATGCCTGGGGATAGTATGCTTGCTGGTTGAGTGGTAGCTGTGGGTTATACTGTGGAAACATGGACCTCATAGGCGGTGCCGGCGACTCTGACTTTGGGGTAGCTTCTGCGACGGGCGTAGACCCTCCTCTGCTGCGTTTCGAGCTGGATGGAGACCCCACTCGTTTTGCCGTTTGGTCTTCCGATATAGTGACATTTACATGTGAAGCATTCCGGCGTGCATCATGCTCCTGGGGTGTTCCTAACGATGAGGACTGCGACGGCCGAGCAACGTGGGCCTTTGGAGGCGCTGGGACGTTGTCTGTATTTTGGTCCACGCAGAAAAGCATGCCCTCGGTCACGGCACCCTTGCTACCCAGGGTCTTGAGAGGGATCGCATCTCCCACCGGTCGACCACCAGCCTGCCTGCGCTTCCCTTTCAAGAACGGGTTGTTGGAGGTCCCACTCTCCGGAGATGCGGGAAAGAGCTGAAAGGAGCTCATGATTCCAGAGACAGACGACTAGACGTCCTGAAAGCGATCAATCGTCGTCAATGCACAGCTGAACACCTCTGGATAATTCTAGTGAGTCAGTCAATGCAATCTCAACACCTCTCACAATTCCACCACTCAGACCATTGGACGTCATCCCCAAAAACAATCAGCGAAGGAGCATAGATATATCCGACCCGCCAGGCAACACATCCCCCTCCCCCCCCCGGTGTCACGAAGCGGTGACGGCAACGGCACATAGACCCTCGGGGCAAGCTTGGCCGGCCAAACCTTCGATAAGCCTCTCCCAAAGGGCGGCAAGGGTCTGCGACCTGACAGGCTGTCACCGGGGGTGAAGAACGCGAGGGATCCCTGAAGCGGTTCCGCCCGTGGCCGGCGCTTAGAATTCCCCCTCATGCGGCGGCCGTGATAGGCTCCCCCGCTCTGGCACCGGCGTGACTCTTGTTCAGCACGGCGCGTCCGAAGGTGATAGCAGAGGTGATGGGCAATCTGATTTGGTCGGCCTTGATTTTGTCAAAGGGGAGGGGATTGATCGGCTGTGGTGCATGATTTGACCGTCCGCGTGGTCGGTCTGTGAGTATGAAGAAAAGATGCATGGGTTAGAGACGAGATGGCTGCAGGAGGGGCTAGATAGTCACTTGCTGGCCCTGGTTGAAGGACATGACTGGTCGTTCTTTGTGTGCTAGCTGCTATCGCTCGAGCCAAGAGTTGCAGAGATAGTGAAGGGGGGAGTGTAGTCTAACAGTGGAAGTAGTGGGAGGATGGATGAAGATGACATCAGCAGAACCGTAAGCGCGCAGCTGCCAAAACACAATACCCACAACTTGGGGAGTGGCTATAATACATCAATCAGTCTGTGCTTAAATCTAATTTACATGAGACTCTACTCTGATCTACAAAATTTTCAATCGCTGTGATGAACCCGGAACATCAATCCCTCGGCCATAGCAATGGCGCCCTCCATGTTGCCCTTATTGTAGAGAAACAAGCCCTGTAAGGCGGCCGCACTGGTGCTCCGCGACATATCTGCCTTGTTCCCATCTGCATCCTCGATGAGTCCCAATTCCTGCAGCCGGTCGAGGAACGCCTGGCGGTAAACTGCGCTCTGCTCCAGCTCCCCGTAGAACCGGTCCCAGAGTCGACCGACCTGATAGCGACTGACCTCGCCCAAGCGCACCGTCATGTCCACCCGCCCGGGTCTCACGAGCGCCTCATCCAGCCGCTCGACGTGGTTGGTCGTGAGGAAGATGATGCGCTCCTCCGCGCTCGCCACGCCATCCAAAGCATTCAGCAGCCCGGAGAACGTCACATTGGCCCCGCGGTACCCGTCCTCGTCCGTCTGCGTGCGACGGTTGGAGAACGCCGCATCGACGTCCTCCAGCAGGACCAGCGTGCGGTTCGGCAGGATCGTCAGGAGATGGTTCAGTCGGTCGTCGGTCAGCCCGCGTTCGCTCAGGTTCAGAATGGCGATATCGTAGTCCAGCTCGCCGGCCAGCGCCTGGATGAACGAACTCTTCCCCGTGCCGGGCGGACCGTAGAGCAGATAGCCCCGGCGGTAGGGGATGCCGCGGTCCTGGTACCACCTCGAGCTGGCGGTGAAGTCCTTGACGTCCTCCACGATCCGCTCCTTGACGCCTTCGTCGAGGATCACCGACTCGAGCGGGCGCTTGGTCCGCGGCTTCCCGAAGGGCTTCCACTCCGTGCCCCAGCTGTTGTAGATGGTCGTCTTGCCCTCGTGCGCCTGGACCGCGTACGCGTGCGCCTCCTTGAAGATCTCCTCGAAGACGTGGCGGTGGGCGTAGAGCGTCGTGAGCGTGATGGTCTCCCACGGCTGCCCGGTCTTCAGGTCCACCGACTTGGCCTCGCGCATGCGGTTCACGAAGATGAAGGCGTTGTTGTACCGCAGCACGTGGTGGCCCATGCCCGGCACGAGGGCGAACTGGGTGTGGATGGCGCCGTTGGTGTGTTCGACTTTCTGCGTTTGGATGGACAGATGGCGCGTGCCCGGAGTCAGTTTGCGGAGGATCGATTCCATGAAGCCAGACCGGCTGGCGGCGGCGGCGGCGGCGGCGCGACTTGTGCTGAGCTGGGAGCTTTGATATAGCGTCATCCAGTGTAGGAACCACGGGTAGGATTCATCCTTGACGCTGATCTCGACGTCGACGAGCATGCGCCGGCGGAGGAGCGCAGCACCATGGCGGAGTCCCTTTTGCGCCAAACTCAGTCCAGCTCCCAGACCTGCGAGTCCGAATCCCTGATGTCACGCAGCGCAGCATTAGTAACCATTTTTTCCTCAAAAAGAATCCGTTTTCGTTGGTGGTTTTCAAGATTGCTCACCGCTGTGAAGAAAGGATTGCTGGTAAGCTGCGCGAAAAGCCCGGCATCGCTGGGGGGCTGGGCGGCGGCTTGGATGGCGTCTTTGCGTTGCTGGGCAATCAGATCGCCAGGCGACGGCGGCCCGGAGGTGGTTGATGGTCCATTGAGGTCCATACCAAGAGATGAACGATCAGGCTGCAACGCCATCATTCATGATCTTTGGAGTCGGCGATGGTCGGTTAATTCCGAGCCCGCCCGGAGTTATGAAGGGCCGAAATGATCGGGGAATCCGGGACCGGAGAGCCCCTTGTCACTTTCCCGTACCATCTCCGATCTTCTGCCGACTGTTATCCGTCTGCAACAACAGCAATGCATAGCGTTGGAGGAGAAGACGCTGGACAATTTAGGAGAAAAGCTGTGTGCTTGGATTCTCATTTGATCGTTCTATCTACTTTACAGTACCGTTAATGGTATCGACATCAATCACCCCATTCTAACTCCCAAATCACGACTTATCCTGTACTTCCCCATGAATGAATGACCCAGCAAATGCCTCCGGCAGCCTCCTCAAGAACTCTTCCCATGATCTACAACACGAGTCTCTAACCTCATCGTTCGATTACAAAGCACTATTTGTCACAACATCTGCTGCATCTTCTTAGCCCATCAACTGCGAGAAGAGTAGATGAAGTATTACACACTAATGAATTATGAGTGCAGAATAGAAACCAAAGCTAAAGTACATTGGTTGTCTTGGACTAAATTGTTTCCTGATTCAAACTGAAAACGAAAAGAAAACAGTGACCACCAAATTCAATGGGGAAGAAGCCCTGCCAGTTTTGTTTGCGCTCCTATTTTACTAAACATGATTATGAAACAGTAACTGGACTAGACCAAACCTACGATCGTGGCCAGAACAACAGCCAACCACCACGTCCAAGATACACCCAGCGTTGCACCGGTATTCGACCACAAGGGCGTGTAGCTCGGCGACGGGGTCGGAGTCGGAGTTGGGGTGCCTGAACGGGAGATCCAGGCCGAGGAAGAAGGGAACCAGGGGTTCGGCAACCGAGTCGACGTTGGGGAACCGCCCCCGGGAATCAGCCCGATGGTTGTCTGCGAGCTGGCTGTGGTAGTTGTGAAGACAACTTGCGGAACGGTCACTGTCCAGGTGGAGTAGGTGATTGTGGTGCAGGGAACTGAGGGAGCACCGGCAGGTCCGCTGGTCAGCCTGACACTGGTATCAGTATGGGTGGCCTGGCCGCTGACGGGCGCGACGCCGCTGGGGACGAGGGTTGGGCCTAGCGTGATGCTGGACGGGATATTCGTGACAATGCCGGGGTTCTGGGGCACCCAGGCGGCACAGACGCCGGTGAAGCATGAGAGGCCGGCTTGAACTTCCGTCGAGGAGGAGCCCCACGCTTGAATGCATTCAATCACCTTCTTGGTGAATTTGGCCGAGGGGCAGTAGCAGCTCGTGTCGCTGTTCGAGGTGCACTTGGGGACCAGTTCGAGCCAGGTGTTGATGCATTTGGGAACTACGCTGGGACACGAGGCAGAGGGCGCCGGTGAGGACACCCCGGTAGCGGGGGCAACTCCTGTGGGAACAACGACAGTCCTTGCGATGGTTGATGTTGCGACCATTGTGATTGTGGACACAGTGCTGGATACCGAAGTAATCGGCTGTCCACCGGAGGTGATCACGGTTGTCACGGGGCATGTTGTTACGGTTTGCCATGTCACCACCGTGGTTGCGCTCTCAACAGACGTGACAGGAGCCACAGCGGTTGGAGTGGCCGAACACTTAGGGCAGATCGTTGAGACCGAGGTCAAAACCACGGTTGAGACTGTGCTAGTGACAGAAGTGACCGGAATACCACCTGAAGTAATGACGGTAGTCACTGGGCAGGTGGTCAATGTTTGCCAAGTGACGACTGTGGTCGTGCTCTCAAGCTCAGAGGAAACAGGAGAGACACCTGTAGGGCCCGGAAGACCACCGGAGGAAATGACAGACGTCACGGTGGGAGCGGGCCCAGTTGTAATCTGAGATTGAGAAGAGACGGGCAGGACACCTGTGGGAACAGAAGGAGCACCAGTTGAGGTGGTCACGGTCACAGTGGAAACACCGGCTGTTGGCATGGAAGGGGAGCCAGTTGCGACAGAAGTTGGGGCTGGGGAAACACTGACTGCAACAGATGTTGCGATGGTGGAAACCGAGGTCAGAGTCACCGTCGAGATAGTACTTGTGACAGATGTGACAGGAATACCACCCGAGGTGATGACCGTGGTGACCGGGCAAGTTGTCAAAGTCTCCCAGGTGACTACTGTGGTTGTGCTCTGCAACTCCGAGGAAACAGGCGATGTGACCGATGGAACTGGCGTGGGGGCAATGCATCTCGTGCAAATGGTTGAAGTCGAGGTGATAAATACAGTCGATTCAGTGGAGCCCACCGAGGTAGATACAGTGCCACCCGCAGAGATAGTAGTTGTCACGGGGCTGGTAGAGACAGAGGTAATCGTGACAATCGTGGTCCTGTCCACACTTGAAAGGGTCGACGAAATGGCACCCGACGTAACAGGAGCTACTGCTGAGGGGACTGTTGTAGGCGCAATACACTTGGTACAGATGGTTGACACCGATGTAATAGTGATTGTTGACTCAGTGGAGCCCACCGAAGTAGAGACAGTCCCGCCGGCCGAGACTGTAGTGGTCACAGGGCTGGTGGATACCGAGGTGATTGTGACGACTGTGGTCTTGTCCACACTTGAAGTAGTTGTTGCAACGGGCCCAGATGTGACAGGAGCCACAGCGGAGGGGACTGTTGTAGCAATGCATTTGGTGCAGATGGTTGACACCGAGGTTAGGGTGACAGTCGAAACAGTAGTTCCTACCGATGTGCTCACGGAACCTCCTTCTGAGACCGTCGAGGTCACAGGGCAAGTGGTAACAGTGACATATGTAACTACAGTAGTTTTGTCCAGACTAGTGACAGGGACGGGGCCTGACGGAGCAGGGCCCGATGAGATCGGTCCGGAGGAGATGGGTGCCACACCAGAGGGGGTTGTTGTCGCAATACACCTGGTACAGATAGTTGAGGTTGACGTAAGTGTGACAGTTGAAACTGTAGTTCCAACCGATGTAGATACAGATCCTCCTTCCGAGACTGTCGATGTCACAGGACAAGTAGTCACTGTGGTATATGTGACAACAGTAGTCTTATCCACGCTGGTGATGGGGGCAGAGCCCGATGGCGCGGGTCCTGTTGGAATGGGACCAGATGAGATAGGACCCGATGGGATGGAAGCCGAAGTAACAGCTCCAGAGGTAGCAGACCCAGTGACCGAGTCAGTGACCGAGCCAGTAGCAGACCCAGTAGCAGACCCAGTAGCAGACCCAGTGACCGAGTCAGTGACCGAGCCAGTAGCAGACCCAGTAACAGACCCAGTAGCAGACCCAGTGACCGAGTCAGTGACCGAGCCAGTGACAACACCAGTGACAGAAGAAATAGGACCGGATGAAATAGGCGCCACAGAAGACGGAAGAGGCAATGTGAGCGACGTAGAGAGCGAAGTCGGAGTCTCAGTAGGAATCGACGACGGGACCGAGGTCGGAGCAATGCACCTCGTACAGATAGTCGAAGTGGACGTCAACGTCACAGTCGACACTGTCGTTCCTACCGAAGTGCTCACAGAGCCACCTTCAGAAACCGTAGCTGTTACGGGGCATGTAGTCAGCGTGACATAAGTGACGACGGTCGTCTTGTCTACACTCGAGATGGGCACGCTTGAGCCTGGAGTGTTGGCAGGAGAGGATGAAACTGGGGCCGTAGAGATTGGAGCAACGCCTGAAGGAGCCGTGGTAGAAGGGGCAATGCATTTGGTGCAGATGGTCGATGTTGAGGTCATGGTCACTGTAGACAGTGTTGTGCCCACCGACGTGGTCAATTTGCCGCTTACAGTCCCTGTGGAGGTGACCGGGCAGCTTGTCACGGTTACCCAAGTGATCACTGTGGTCTTATCCACGCTCGAGACAGGCACACTTGGTGTGGTGACGGGAGCGGATGGTATAGGACCAGACGAAACAGGACCCGAGGAGCTGGGCGCCACGCCCGACGGAACACTTGTTGGTGCAATACATTTGGTGCAAATGGTCGACGTTGAGGTCATGGTCACTGTAGATAGTGTCGTGCCCACTGAAGTAGTCAACTTGCCGCTCACAGTCCCCGTGGAAGTGACCGGGCAACTTGTGACAGTCACCCAGGTGATCAATGTAGTCTGGTCCACGCTTGAGGCAAGTACACTGGGCCCTGGTGTAGTGACGGGAGCAGAAGGAATAGGACCGGAGGAGATGGGCGCCACTCCTGACGGAACGCTGGTTGGGGCAATGCATTTGGTGCAGATAGTCGAGGTTGAAGTCATGGTCACCGTAGAAAGAGTAGTGCCCACAGAAGTGGTCAGAGTTCCACTGACGGTACCCGTCGAAGTCACCGGACAGCTTGTTACCGTGACCCAGGTGATCACAGTGACCTTGTCCGCAGCCGGAGCAGGGGAGCTAGGCCCTGGCGTCATGACAGGTGCGGACGTAGACGTGTGTATCAACTGAGAAGAGGTCAACTCCACAGGAGAGCTTCCAGATGGAAGGGTATTGGAAAGCGCGCTACTTGAGTGCGTAAAGCTAGATGTGCTGCTGGACGGCGTGGCAGTTGGGACGGCTTCGCTGGAGTGCGTGAAGCTGTGGACCGCGCTGCTAGAAGGCGTGGCAGTCGGTGTAGTCGTGCCAGAAGACGTGTCGACGGGGACGGTTTCGCTTGAAGAAGTGGGAGTAGGGACAGCGATACTAGACTCCACACTGCTGGTGGAGGTAACATCTGGCACGTCTGGGACGCTCTCCGTCGAAGACTCATCTGCAGAGGTCTCTGTGGCAGAGTGAACAGCAGTAGATATGGGAATCGTTGACGTGATCACCGTGGTAGAGTCTGCCGGACAATTAGTTACCGAAGGGCCACAGCTGGTAATCACAATTTCACTGGTGATATAGTACGTCGATGTCGCCAGGTTGTTGGTCGGCGCCTCTGGGGCAGGAGTCACGACGGCTGCGGGAGTAGTCCGATCCTTTCGAATGAGCGGCACGGAGTAAGCTCTCGCATTGAGCCCAGACGCAGTGTCGGAGGAATTGGATGCTGTTGACGCCTTCCCAGAAGAGCAGTCGAATCCAATCCTATACACACTCAACAAGCAGAGATCGACATTCGCATCATCGGCCAGTAGAAAGCTCACCGAGGTGGCACCGCCGCACTGGTCATTGGCGACAGTAGTCCCTTTGGCGGAGATAGAAGCAAACGTATTGCAGGTGGTACCATCAGCCATGCCATAAACGATGTGGATGTCAGCGTTGCGGGAGGTGGCAAGCTGGAAGTCATTAACGGAGAAGTCTTGACTCTCTGATGCAGAGGATATCTCAGGAGCCGACGAGCTATCCTTGGTGAGCCTTCCCACGATGGATTTGGCCTGGTTCAGTTAGCCAGCAACTCCCAGTTCCACCAACCACGGTAGACTTACGCTGGAGGTCGTGCTGAAGTTGTTGCTCACGGAGAAGCCCGAGAACTCGAAGCCCGCATAGCTCGGAGAGGATCCGACAGCCAGGTCGGACCAGTCAAAGCCGGCTTGCTGCTGCTCCGAACAGGTCGTTTTGGTGTTATCAGGGCTGGTGAAGCTCTCGTCGGTGTTCCACCACTGCGAATATCAGCACGAGACGAGCTCTGGGCATTTGAGGAAGACAAACTTACCACACCTGACCCTTGGGCCAAGCCGACGAGAGCCAGAAGAGAGACCGAGGCTATGGCCCTCATGGCGAAGAGATATGCGAAGTGACTGAGTGAAAGTAGATAGAGTCTTGTGGTGCTATGTAGAGACAGAGATGGCTGAGACAGAAATGGCTGATATCCTTCAATGGTCAAGAAACCTTACGACAAGGAGACTGAGGACGAGGAAGAAGATGATGATGTTGAAGAGACAGAGAGAGAGAAAGTATACAGCGAAAGCGATGAACAAGATCGAACGAGTGTTAGTAGTCAGGTGAAACGAATGTCTCTATGTCCAGCAACGAGCACCAACAACAATGGGACGGGGAATAAATAGCAACACAATTATAGAGAGCAAAGAAAGTGTATAGAAAGAAACGCAGCGACCCACCCGCTCGCAAAGAGGGCGTTTGATCTCTTAAATCTATAACACCGGGATGCTGCAACAGGAGGGGGGGTTGAGTGCTATCCATAAAGAGCAATTGGATAAAGAGACCTTACCTGCCCGGGAAAGTGAGGGAAAGGGACTATGCCCGGTCAAGACTCCACCCAACCCGTCCAGTCACTGGCTGGGGTTCTTACATGCAAGCATGGTTGGCGAAGCATTTTTATTTTCTCGTCTTTGCAAGTAAGACATTCTTCAAGGTTGTAGTCGACAGTTGGTGCGACGGAGAGCCAATCCAACGCGGAGGCGCCGACTGTTCCGCTAGTGCAGGAACAGGCTGAAGGACCCTGACAAGGACTGGAGGGAATGAGGGGGAGGCGCGAAGTCAATCAATCTCATCGCCAATCACCGTCGATAAGAGGCTATTGTCGGGGCTGATCCCAAAATAGGCGCAGGTCCTGGTGGAGGTGAGGTGAGGTGAGGTGAGGTGCCGGAGGTCATTCATACATTCATTGTCTTAAAACAATGAGAGAAAAAGAGAGTCTCACAGTACACAATGACTGCCCAGATCCTTCAGGCCTCGCTCCGTTTGAGGAAGCAATGACGATGAGTCTCTGTCTATCTATGCTTCCAAACTTTCAAATTGATAAGTACCTGCCAAGAAGATTGGATGTGGGAACAGCAGAAAAGAGAGTAGGTGGTGTATGGTAGATGAAGGATGAAGTCGGCGGCGGGATAAGCGATGTCTTCTTCCCTAACTACAGTACAACTACAATTAAGTCACACCACCTCAAAATAACCCAACAGGCACTGACCCAAAGAACTCATCCCTCGGCAGACAAGAAAAGAAACGAAAAAAAAAAAGGCCAATTCGCCTTTCCAAAATCGAACCACACAAAAACCTGCAGAATAAAATCCCACTCGAAGCTCACCGTGCAGCAAACGGGCGTCTCGCGCTGCAACCTTCCCCCTCGAACATGGCACGCACTGCCCGCAGTATAGACTACTCAGGGAACTCTGCCAGCCTGGGCGGCTACTTTTTTCTTTCTCTCTCTATTTCACTGATCCAATAAGAAAAAAAAAAACAAAAAACAAAAAACGAACGCCAGTCCTTTCTAATTCAAGATATTCATAATCAATCCAAACGCAAAAGACTACTGGTGGGAAGTTCGATCTCAACGTGGTAAATAACCGCCGAACAGATGGAGATCGCTGCTGCGGCTTAGCGCCCGGATCTGAATAGATGATGAGAAGACGAAGAAGATGCAGATGTGAGCAATCACAGCAACGGCAGTAGCAGATCCCCGCGATCAAACACGCACACCTGGGTCGAAGAAAAAAAGACATGCTAGTGGCCTCCGTTCAGAAAGCCTCAGAAAAATACTACCTCACTATCCCACCTGCAAACGAACAGGTGAGCTACAATGGTGCCAGCTCATCGCGGCCGGCAGCCAGCCGTCATACATCTTCCTGAAGAAACTCCTTCTTCCCAGGGGTTGACATGATGATTCTGGCCGGGGGGGTCTAGTTCTGCGCCATGTCGGAGGGTACAACCTCATATTGATGAACTTTGGAGGGGAACTGCGAAGAGGATTCGTCGAGACTCGGGGCTAGCTTGTCTCCTATATATATCCAGCGGGCCCATCAGACTCAAGTATTTGACGATATGCCCGTCGCATGTCGCACAAAAGGCCCGGACCTTTTGAGCTCTGAAGCCGCAATACCCCCGACTACCCTGCCGGTGGCTTGCATAGCGTAGTATCTCTTCTATGCTCCATATCTTCCGTGTGTTCAATAATCCCGAAACACGCAGTCGGATAGACACCCTCGGGGCAACACAACGACCAGTCTCATTGGACCTTCAGCATAGCATGGTACTACGTTATCGATCACAGAGAATCATAATCAATCCTGGAAATGAAATTTGATTTTCGAATTATAGTAGCCGGGAAAATGACAAACCGCCGTAACATGACACATGGCATACGAGATTGATAACATAGTTAGAAGATGGTATGAGAGTTGACCTAATCCTTCGCAACAAGGTATATCCCCTTTTGAACTCCGTGAAACGTCATCATCAGGCTGAACTTTTGGTCATGGAGTAATCCTCCCATCCTCTAGACCATGAGAGTAAATCGACTGTTTCAGTCAGAACATGCAGTCCGAGTACCGTTCTATGCTTTTGTCGAGAATTAGGTCTCCGTCTTTTTGGATATCAACACTTTTGCAGCAATGTACAATTGACCGTATTGTTTTGGGTTGTTTATAGCTCAGCAAGGGCTACCACATCGATGGGTGCGCCATAGGACCTGAGTGACAAGGGCCATAGAAGATTTCGACAGTCAGCAATTCTAGAAAGGAAGCTGACTGCGACGATGGGCATCCATCAACTTTCGTCGGACGGCTTCCCCACCGTTGTACCCGTTAGGTTTCCGCTTACGCGTAGGGGTTCGCTGGTCTGCATTACGTGCGTGTCTAAACACACTTGCAGGGCGAGAGGGTGAGTTGGCGGGCATAAACTCCCGATGCTGGGGGAGACGCAGCAGTGCCTGGTAGCGGTTGTGATTGCGGCGGAATGCCGTCACAATGCCTCGATCCAGATGGTTAAGGAACCGCTCTGCACTGCTAGCATGATGGGACTCGCCAGCCCGGCTCGGGGTGGGCGTGCCAGTGCCGGCATGCTTGGTCTGAGCTGCCATGGGTGAGAGTAGTGTTTCCTCTTCAAACACCTTGTCCATCTCATCGTCGGACGACTGATGGCCGAAGTCAATGAAGTCCTCGACATTCAGGGCTGATTCCGGATCATCCTCATCGTCGTCCTCGAAAGAACTGTCAATGGCAAAGTCCCGAGACGGGTAAAAAGCCTCAGGGGGTCCCATCACCTGTCCGCCTGGGGCAATATCATTGCCGAGTGCCGTCATCATCAAATTGGCGCTGGAGGCCAGCATCGGGCTCATATCGAGATGGCCGGGCGATGCGAGCGCATCTGTGTCACTTTCATCGATGAGATGCATGGTGGTGGCACGTGGGCTGTTATGAGCCGTACCACATACACTGTTGGTAGCGGACTCCAGCCAGTCATGACGAGACGAGGCATAGGCGGGAATGATGACCAGATGTTTGCCAGTGCAATCAACGAGCGCAACAGGCTTATGTGGGTCCGCGACGAAGGTACCCATGATAGGCCCGCGGCGCCGACTCACAGGCTCAGGCTTTTCTTCGACGGGAGGTGCAAGAGAGGCGGATGAATCGCGGCGAAGGATAGACCTGGGATGAGTAATGGTAGCCGGAGGAGGAAGGTCTTCATCTGTGGTCTCGCCATCATCGGCTTGAAAAGGGTCAGCAAGCGTAGTGTAAAAAGTTCCCAAGCATTCTGCATACTCTCATAGCCGCTCGATTCCGAACCTTCGGAAACAGCATCGGATTCCACGTGATAGATGTTCGAATGTCCGTAGTCAGACTCGGCAAACATCTCCTCTGACTGACGGCGCTGGCGCGGAAAGTTCTCGTTGTCGCTCTCAATCATACGACGCAGCTGGGGATCCAGACTGTCCTGTTGGAGGAAGTCACTGGGGATCTCGTCTTCAGTGTGTGAATCACTGTCGGAGGAAGAATCGGAGTCTTCTTCAAAGTGCACTCGGCGGGGCATGGGTGTCTCGACGGCAGTCTCACTGGCCATCTCGTCGCCGAAGGTCTCCATGGCGCTATAGAGCTGTTCCTCGTCAAAAAATGACGCAGCCGACAGGAGCATATGGTCGTCAAAGACATTGGGGCCGGCCCAGTCATTGGTCTCTGTGGCGGCGGCGGCGGTCAAGATGTTCTCAACGGCATGCTCATCCTCGGACTCGACGATCAACAATTCCTCGAGTTTCTCCACGTCGTTGTCCTCGTCGTCTTCTCCATCACTGATATAATCAACAGCAGCATAGATATCATCCGAGTTATCCTCATCCGAATCGTCATCGTCATCATCGTCACTGCTTCCTTGGCCATCGTAGCCATCGTCATCGGAGAACTTCATTTTCTTGGTCCGTTTGGCAGACTTCATGCCCGTCTTATGAGACCGATCCCGACGGCCATAAGACGGGCCGCGAACAGCCGGCTGTTCATCTTCTTCATCGTCGGCATCATCGTCCTCCGAGTCGTTATCGTCTTCGTCGCTGAGCTCCTCGATGGAGGAGACCGACGACACACTGGAGACCGATATAGACGATGCTCTGCGTTTCCGGTCCATGCCCAATGATCCAAGAGCCAGGCCCTTGTTTGAAGTCCTAGGTGAGCGACCCGTCAGGGTATGTTCGAGGGAATGAGCGGAGGGTCGACGAGTCGGGTTGCGCGGGATACCCTTGGCGGCAGTCTGGAGGGACCGTTTGGGTGAGTGAACTGAGGGAGGCATTATGGTTGTTTTGACCAGAAAGGGGATTGAGGTAAGTTCGTTTCGAATGTATCTCGGCCAGTTTAAACTTGGCACGAGTGAATGTTGACCTTGGTAGACTAATGGATCGTCAAAGTTTGCTACCCGTGAGGCCGCGGGATAAATCAATTGCGTCAGACTTTGTCGAAGGCGGAATCAGGGACAGGACTGTCGTAATGGGGAGGCGGATTTCGACCGTCAATTCGTGAAAGCGTACGGAGAGAGACACAGAGATATGGGTCGTTGTTACTTCGTCCAAGAACAAGAGGGCGAGGGAGAGTTTTCAAGGTAAAGGTTACGGCCAGGAGCCGGAGAACCAAAGGGTAGGTCAGATAAGAAACGATAGCAAAGACTTTTCGAATTCGCCAAAGCACCTCAGCGTCCAGAAGGGTGACGTTAAAAGTGCTTCTCGTATGAGTGTAGTGATAGGCAATTCCGACGCTGGGAATTGAAATGGTGCGTCGAAAGAGGAGCAGATAGTCGTCAAGTTCGATGAGAGATAGTCGGAGCTACTAGGACTGGGAAGCATGGAAAGGCAGCCGTGCTTCCCAGCGGAGAGATTTACAGCTCAACGAAGGCCATCCTGGCGCGGTACACTTGACGATATCTGGGTAGTATGATGAATAAAGAAGGGGTTATGGGATGGAGGGGTTTGGTGGGGGTGGGTGGTCTGTAGATGTGGAAAGAATCTGCAGTAGATGGGGGCAGAGGAAAGGGAAGAAGGAAGAAGATGAGGGGTGGAAGTTATGGGGATCGATGTTTAGAGGAAGGGGGAGGGCGGCAGGCATGGCAGGCAGGCTTAGGCTTACAGTAGGACGGTAGGCCCGCGGGCGTACATACTGTACAAATTCCATACCTTACACTCAGTGGAGGACTGGCAATCCCGCCCGGGGGGGCGGTACGGGGTGTTACAGCAAGAAACGGGTTACAGAACCAAAACAGCCTCGGACAGGCTGAGGCGGACCAAATTTTCCAGTCACGGTGGAGTATCAACCGGCCGGTCGCAGTCATTCAGCTTGTCATTGGTTAGGAGCCACTAAAGCAAGCATGGCCATTGGCGGACAGGTGTTCACCGCATCTTTTTTCTTTTCCTGTTTCATTCTAGTCTCTGCTGTCGTTTTTTATTCTGGTCTCTTTTTTGTACTTTTTTTTTTCGCTCTTTTTTTTTTTTTTTTTTTTTTTTTTTTTTGCCTGCATTCATTCTCTCCCCACTCTCAATAATA